TTCGGTAACAAAGATAAAAAGAAGCGGTATAAAAGGACATTCCTGGAAGGCGGAGATTTCATTTATTTCAAATACCCCCACCACTGCCAGGACATTTTTCCGAAAAAAAAGGGTGGTATGTAAAAAAAAACAATAAATTCTAATAATGTATATAATTAGCTTTGAGGTCAATACTAAAATTGTGAAATTGTTAGGGCAGTTTTAAACAAGGTGTACAAAGTTACCACAGAGGATGGAAGGTAGTTTTATGAAAGCATGGTTTGAAGTATGAATTAATGGTAAAAAGCTGTAGTCTTACATGATACTATGCCTATCTTGTATTGATGATCTATTAGAGCGTTTCCCGTAATTTCAGATAAAGCTTCAGATAACTGGCAACCATGATTTTAAGCCACAAGATGGGGAAGTGTCGTTACTCTGAAGTGAGCTTATTTAATCGCACTGGCCGCGCCCAAGCGCATCCAACTGAGCAAGATGGCGGCGCCCTGAGACCGTGTTGTTGTATGCGTTAATATAGTAAGGGTGCATGTGAGGTGTGTGTGTTCACTTCTGCCCCAGTCTCAGGTTATTCAACATGGTTGTATGCGTTGTAGGTGAAAAAGAAGGGGAGGAGAAACTCGAGTTGGGCGTCTGCTTTCCATGTGTCTCCCGGCACTATTTGCCGAGATCGATCACGTGAGGAGCAAAGAATCCTGCGTCATGCACGAAAGTGGCTTCGTCGACGTTGCACTACGGTGGCCTAGGGAGTTGTAGTGGGCTCACGGGACGACTCGGCCTGACGCGATTAATGTCGACGTGGCGGTGGCGCTGTAAGCGTTTCCTCTTGAAACTTTCCAGCGCACATAGGCCAGACCAGGTCGGCTAGGCAGCTCTTACCAATCGTTTGTTTCATGTTTGCCTCTGAATCAATCACGGTAAGGTAACTATATAAATTTGAGCACAGAGCGGGCAGCGGGCGTTAGAATTTTCAGGAGGAATCTACTGGTGCGCCCCTAGCAGCCGCTGGCTTTACCTCCGGCGTTTTCGACATCAACCGTTTCAGCGCAATACACGGGGGAGATAGGGCGGTGAGCCCACTACCCAACTTCTAGGACACTGTAGTTGCACAAGCCCGGCGTATACGTTCTCCTGCCTTTTGCCTCCTCCTCCTCGAGTTTTCCACGCGCTGAGGCGCGCGCTGCGCCGCTATACGCCGAATTCAGTCACGTGACCGGCCGCAATCGACAAAGCATGGCTCCTACGTGCACGAAGAGTGGCTTCCCGCATGACTTAAGATTTCAAGGTGGCTGAACGCGCAAATCTGGCTCCCCCGTAGGGAGCCTTCGCAAAAAGCGGTTACAAGTGGATGCAATGCAGTCAGTCACACTTGAACGCTTTTGTATGAATCAGTCGTGGGTAAATCTGAGAGTCTATGCAAGACTGGTTAATAAAAAATTGGCGGCTATGTTTACCTTCCAAGCACTATGATGCAAGAAATTGAGTGTTTAAGAAATAATCAATTTTAATTTGTTTAGAAGGCTGGATGCAGTCTTCCGTAGTATAGGTCGTGTCACGTGACGTCAGTTTGACCGATAAATTTAGCGGGTAAACTACATTGGTGTATAGTTCATGCGACTTCAGGTTACCTGACATCAATTTGCCCGCCAAATTTAGCGGGGAAACTGAATTGGTGTATACGTGACGTGAATTTTCCCGCCATATTTAGCGGGAAAACTGAGTTGGTGTATACGTCACATGATGTCCATTTTCCCTTAAATTTAGCGAAGTAACTGAATTGTTCTAGGTCCCATGACATCAGGTCACGTGACATCGAATTTCTCGCTAAATTTAGCGGGGAAACTGAATTGGTGTATAGGTCACGTGACATCCGCTTCCCCGCTAAATTTAGCGGAAAATTCACGAACGGACGCGCGCAAATTTGTGATTGGGAGTACCGTTAAAAAGCATTTTATGTTTTAATAAATATCGGAAAGATGTATATATAAATCAGCATAAATTTGGTAAAACAAAGTAACATTTTGGAATAAGTAATCCACCTGGGTATTTAGAGGATGCCCATAGTTTAAACGTCTAAAAAGCTTTTGCAAAATGCTTGCTAATTGTTGCGCTAAGGAATTCACAATTTGTATTTTATTTGAGAATATTGTTAGTCTTTTTAGAGTCTAAGCAGGAGTGAAAAATACAAGCAAGACAACTTAAAAATGAAAGGTTATGCAATGTTAACATCTCATAAACAGAGATGGCAAAATTACTTTTAAAAAAGTAGTTAAATTACACCACTAATTATTTTTCTGAATACTGCAAAAATGTAATTAAATTACATTACAAATTACCGCAGACTAAAAGTAATGACATTACATTACAATTATTTTCCAAAACTAAAGAAATTACTTTGACATTGCTTTTGAATGCCTTAAGGCAGTAAGTTGTGCCCATTTTATTTACTGTAGATGTACCAAAACTCGGACCTTCCTGTTTACACTGGAACACCCTTATGCACCTTAAAGTGAACCATACTGAACAGTCGTTTTGCTGGCGCACACGACATAAGTATTAAATATGACGCATAGCTTTTTTAGATGTGGCTCAAAAACAGTCGACACACCGGTTTCGCTGTTCATTCAAAAGTGAAGGTCCTTACTAAAATTGTGATATGTTTCCGTCTTCCTGATTTAGACAAAGTTATAGTCCGTGTCAGTCTGTTAAGTCGGGCCATGGGAGCTCGTTCTTACTAGGAGTCATCACGTGACACCTCTCCCTTCCTCCTCGGACGCAGTATAATCCTATCGTCCCAAGCGCACTAGTTGATGTAGTCCCGGTCATACCTCCCAAAAAGAATTGTTCCCAAACACCCGAAAAGCCCAAGTTTTTGCACATTGTCACACAAAGGGGCTGGATAATTGCTAAGCAGAAGCGTCGCCAGTTGAGGAAAGAAATGACGCCCAATTCCTCAATTGTGTACTTTCCCAACAAACGGGTGGCGATAATAGCTTGTAGGCTAATTCCTAAATAAACTTCCCAAGGGAAGGCAGTGAGGCATACCGCGGGCGGCACCTGCTTTGCTCGAGGACGCACGAAACGTTCTGGAACCTGGACAAGGCGTTTCGATTAACTATTTACTCCGGTTGTTGTTCACAATGGTCGAAGCTTACGGTTTGACCTTGCTTGACGCAACAAACAAGAAGGCCGGGGACCTGCTTGTCCTGTCCTCTCAGGTTTTAAAATTGTTGACCTCATTGGTGACGTGTCCTTCGCCTTGTAGCCTAAAAGCTGTTCACCCGTAAGCTGACAGTGCATGTGGTGGAAGCTGCGTGCTTCTTGGAACAGTCACATGTCCCTCTTTCGCCACGTAACCAAGCTCTCGTTCATACCAACGCGCAGAGAAAGGGACGGGTCTGGAGATTAAAGGGAGGTGTTTGATTGGTTCTGGTTAGCTCGCACCTCCCACCGCACTGTCAGCTTAGGGATGAACGAAGTACAGTATCGAACCTTTCTTGCCTCGAGTTCGTAAGCCGTGGCCTTCCAGCGATGTCTACACGTAAGCTTTTCTCCATCACCGTGTGATATAACCTTACAAAATTAAATTACTCATTACCACAAAAGTAATTTAATTACTGTAATTTCATTACTGCCATCTCTGCCTATAAAGAACCCAACCCCTCCGACAGGGGTGTACAAAGTACACATTTGGACACTCTTACACTCCAGACAAAGGACATAAAACATTATGAAATTCAGAAATAGAGCGCAGAGAAAAACGAAACATGGAAGTTTGTTTCACAGTTCGATGTCGTATACAAAAAAATATTGTTTAAAAATGTCTATGCGTGCATCAGTGGTGGTGAGAACTTTTGAAATAATTTAACGCTCTGAGTCGTAGGTTCTCCGCTTTAAATATTGATCACTGCCAAGTTTCTAGAGCTTGTTATAAATTTCGAAAACCAATTTCAGCCTCTGGCAGGTTCTTCTGTTCTTTAGACGTTGAGAGCCCGCCTGTCCATTCGGCGCTGCGACTGATATGTCGTCGTCCTAAAGTCTGTTTTGAATTGATCTTTACTTTGTAGTTGTAACCCCCTTCTTTGTGCGTTGCCCCACAACATATTTGGGCGACTAAGCAGGAAATTTAAGAAATCAAGTGAAACCTTTTTTTTTTTTTTTGACAAAGGGCAGTTGCAGGCAACGTAAGCTGGCGTTGAATACATCGTTTTGCATATTTGACGATACTTAAAATGACATGAAGGGTTGGTAAAAGCGTGTAAACAAAATTTCTGAGTGGTGACCTGTAGGAATGTTTGATCGTTTTCCACTCAAATAAATGATTTTGCGCTTGCTGAACGGAACTGATTTATACAGTTTACGTAGTCGTCGTTAAACCGACCTGATTTGCTCTCTAGCAATATTCAATGAATACCAGATGGTTTACTCGGGTGTGTGGACAACACAACACATTCTTTTTAAAGGGAACGACTCCTGGCCATTGGGATCGTTGTCTCTTCCTAGAATTATCTGCGCCTACACGACGCGTTGAGCTTCTGGTAACGTCTTGAGTGATGAAATTCTTGGGATAAAACAGCTGAGGCAAACATTGTAACATATCGCAGCCAGCAAAGGCGTGTTTTGGCGAAGAGATATCAGCGACAATATCTGTGGACCTGCCAGGTGCTCGTATTGCTCAATATCTAAGTAATCATGCTTCGCCCGAGGGTACAAATACGACTTTCAAAATTGCAACATAAGCATTCCTTCAGCAGTCCACGGTAAGGACGTTTTATCTAACGTGTTACAGGATATAAAAATAAGACCTGCATTACGGAAATACCTTAAAGCAGATGCTTAACAAAACACTGTTCAATAAATAACCAGAGCATGCATCGTTCTCAAATTTACTACTCCGTTTCCACGTTCCGGATCTCTAATTTCTCAACTAACAAACGAAGTTGTGCATTCGGCTCCTTAGTTTAAATTTACTAACACACAGCTAACAAGTCAATAAATTGACTGAGCCAATAATAAACATGAATGATGCTTTGCTGCAACAGGTAATAGAAACTTTCATACAAAAAGAAATAATATTTCATTTAATTTTTTTCCAAAAGAAAAATGAAATAGGTTAAATTTGTGGAGAGCTTGGCAGCCTTAAACATTTTTGCTAAACTTTATCACTTCTCTTTTGGAACGGATATAGTGAAAGCCTGAAAGTGTTTAGTGATGAGATTAACATCACTATTTTCATTGTATTAAAATATATACTGAAATATGCATCTCGAAAGGTGACGGCACTAGGAGAAAACATGGCGGCCCTGAGATTCACGTTATTTGCCCTTTTGGGTGAGTTTCTGCTACACATTTTTTTATATACTCACAACTGCTCAAGATGGAGGAGACCTCGCGCATATACGGTAGTAGATGAGTACCACTTTATGTCAAAAAGTTTGCGTTATCTTAGAAACTAATAAATATTGTAGATTTTTTTTTAAACCTTGAAAAAATGAATATTTTGATGTAGCATACTGGAAGGAAGAGGTGTTGTGAAAAACGGTAAAGCTGCACGCGATAAAAGAAAAAGTGGCTTCGGTGTCTCGCTTTTCTACAAGAATGTATTGTCCTTTTAGTGATGGTACTTCTTCGAGCTCTAACTCTCCAATAATAAGAGACGAAAACGCAGTCGCTTAAATACAGTCTGGCGCATGGTCCTTGAGTGAAAAACGCCACGCTCTCGCGTGACATACCCTGCTAATGGGTACGTTGTTATCAGCAGAATGTACACTCCCAGAAAGAGGGGATGTGGTTTACTTACGTCCCTTGTCCGAGATATGACACCTCAAAAACTACAATTCGACGTTCGGTCCTCTGTCCGCGCTACCGACTTTTACGAGCAGCTTAATAGTCGACTGATACAACTTATTCAAATAGCTAATGTTCGCATTAAAGACTGCATGAAAACACTCAAACTTCTGTTGGCCCTGACCCCTGCTGCGAAACCTCAGTGTAATTTGTTGTTGTTGTCTTTGACACGTACACTGGCTATTTTGTAAGGTTATATCACACGGCTAACAAGCCGCTTGTAAAAGTTGGTATCTTCAGTTCAACGTCGGTGGACTTAACGTCGAAATATAGTTTTGAGGTGTTATACATGAGACAAAGGGTGTAGGTACTACACCCCCTATTTCTGAGAGTGTACCTGTTTGTGAGCAACTGTAAAAAGCGGCGCAGTTTCGTTTTTTTTTTTTTTTTGTCTGTAACGCGCATACCGGGTTCCTCTGACAACTGGGCGTCTGCGTAACATTTCCGCCGTTTTAGCTACTTTCGGCTTATTGTCCAGCCGCTTCAGGGATATTAATTCACTCATCGGGTTGCCTGTGTGAGATCTGTCCAATAGTTCTGATCGAAGTTCGTGATTACCGGTGCGTCACACGAACACCATTACTAAAGCATCTACAATAAAAATATGCTTAAACAATCTTGTTTTTTTTTTTTTTCAGCCGTATCGGTTGCATCTGCAGGATACTTTCACATTGAGGATAAACCAGGTTAGTGAAGGAAGAAAAAAGATACCTCGGTTTAATTTTTTCCCAAGAATTGTGGCATATGGGATTAAGAGGTTGTGTGACCAACACGTTAAGGTAGGTAAATGTGCACGCCATTCAACGTGGTATCGATAAAATCCACAGTACCTACTCCATAAACATTGCCTCTTGGGACTAGGTTCTTTTCATCTAAGCTACTGAATGTTTTTAGAGTACCGCGCTCTAGCGTCCTCTTTAACTGGATTATCTAGTCAATTAAACTTTCTGATTAGCCGATGTCGGCCATCTTGAAGAAAAAAATTAAACAGATAAGCTATGCAGTCAAAAATGTTTATGCGGGAGCTTTGAACACCTGGCATATTGTGATTGATAGGATGGTGATGGTCACGTTGACTTTCGTTGATGTCGCCAACCTGCCAAAGTTGGAATTTGACCAGGTTCGATTTTCTCGAACTTTTAACGCAAAGTTGAACAGAACGGTTAAAAGACGCGAAGAAACAAAAACACACGTATGACACGGACAGGCGCCATCCGTGACGTACGTGTGTCTTTTTTTCGTCCTGTTTGTTCGCGCCTTTTAACCTTTTAATCGATATGAACCAACTAGCCCCAACCAAAGTTTTATTTCAGCAGCACATTCACTGCCGTTCGACTTTTATGCACATGTGCGGAATTTGAGAACGAGCTGACGCCACCTGGCGGAGGAGCGTAAGAAACTAACTAAATTAAAATAGTAAAGGTGCGTTTCTCTTATTTTATTAACATTCGTAATCATTACTTATACTTTGATTTTGAAATAAATTACCGTGTAAATTGATTTTTCTCCGAAATTGGTCAATTTTGCGTACAAGTCGGACAACACTGTTCAAAAGTTGAACTTCGTCCAAGTTTGCGGCAAGTTCGACGAGAATTCGGCTAACGAGTCGAACCTCCGGTGCGATAAAAGTTCGCGACATCCCCTAGTATAAACCAAGCAGGCAGCCCGTATTTCAGTACGCGGACGCTAAAGCGTTTTCCTACTGAAAACAGGCTGGAGCGCTTTCTGCGAAGAACTTTTTGCGTTTGAGCGTGACCGACTGGATTATGATTGTTTATGACTGCTTGCGACGAGAGGCATTTAAGAGGGACGAGGGGAGGGGGTTGTCGACCGGTTCCCCTAAGCTCTTCAAAGTCAACTTATTTTTAATGAAAAGAAGGACATACATCAGCCTTTTTAGAGAGAAATATTCAGATTTTGGTGATATAGCATATATTAGGTTAACAAAATAGGTCTGGGCAACGCTTCGCTCATGACGTCACATTCGTCTGTGACGTCATCTCTCTGCAACCTCCCCCTCCCTTCCCAAGCCTGCCCATAAATCTGTCCCTGAATGGCGTGCAATGCGAAGAACGCAAAGGGTCGTGACGCAGTTGGCTACACTGAAACGCAGATGTCTGGACCAGCCTTTACTTCAACTTTTTTTTTTCTTTATAAATTCACGCATTGATCCTGATATGATCGGTGGGGTGACTAAAGGTTTGCCAGAGGTGCAAAAAGCTGTCAGTTTAAGAATACGTGAACCTCTGTTTGCGGTCGGAGGCTCAAATTGCATCCGAAAACAAAAGTCATATTTTGTACTCGCTTAAACCTAGAGCTCTTATGAGGAAACTAAAAGAGTGCTAAGCAAATCTAGGCATAGTCGGCGTCCTCAGAATGCCAAAATTACGATACAGCGAGTATTTCTCTCTCGAAATGTAAACAAGGATCGCGACGCGACGCTTTCGCTAAAAGGGGGTGATTCGTGACCGTTGAATACGTTTTAGTAGGGAACAATGCTGCATATGATCCTAAATTTTATTTTCTTTAGGACACTTGGAGCGCATAGATTGAGTTAACGCCTTTAAATGGCGATCACAATGTCCTCTTTACTACCCCTTGAGCTTTTTCAGGTTCTTCGTGAAACAATACTTGAAATCTGAAACCGGTTATTTTGGAGAATGGAACTATAGTCACAAACAAATGGACTTAGCAAGATTTAAAATTCGTCTTAATTTAAACGCAATTTAAAGTACTCTCGATAACGTAGCATAAATGGAAATGGCGGAGGTTGTGACCTTCAATACGTGCCGGGCTACCTGGAGGCCGCTTAAACTGCGGAGTGGAGAGCGAGAATACGAGGAGGTGCACGCCCAACGTCTCCTCGATAAGAAAGGTAAAAAGCCGTAGTGCTGAAGATTCCCGCTTCACTAAAGAAGACCTCCGTAGGGAACAGGCTGGGCACAAGGAGTGTTGCGGCAGCGTTCGGCTTAGACTCGTGTTCTCACTGATTCAGCACGAGTAGACCGATCTCACTAAGTGTTCGGCGTATGCGTGACGCCGACATAAGTTCCATAAGTTTAGTTCACGGGAGGCTGACGGCAGTGCATGAGAGGGCTTGTGCTGTCTCGTGCTTTGCACGCCAAGAGCGCCCAGCGGGGTTGTCGCGCGTGCAAAAGGGCTAAAGTTCCCTCGATGCACTGCGGCAGCGGTGGCTAGTCAAACTGGCTAGTGAGGTTGGTCTGTTCCATCAGCAGAACTTTTTACGATGAAGCTCTGTATGGCTAGGATTCCGGACATTTCTCGTGTGCAGTGATTGAAGACACAGCCTTCTTTATACTGGCTAAGCCTGGCAGATCGCCGCGAGAAGCAGCCGCCGGAATTGAAAAGGTGGAGCAGCAGACAACGGATGAGAGGAGAACCACTTGACTTGCGCCCCGCTGCGGCGAGACGCCAAAACACTCTTCTCCCGAGCGATGGAATGTCTTCGCGTTCCTCGCGCTATCGCTTCTTTTCTCGTCGGGTTTGAAAACCATGTTTCGGGTCCTCGCCGCTGCAAATGCTGTGCGCTGATGTCCAGATTGCCCGAGAAATGGCTTTGATGCTCTGCTCTACCAGATCATCGCTCCCCAAATCTGCCACCGGACACTCTATGGCTCCGTCGTCGAACTAGGAGGCTATGCTTTATTCTTTATTCATGAAAAACCCGCAGCGCCTATACAGGCATTATTGCAGGGGGGCACAATGCATTAAAAAAGAGGTCCACATTCTCGCGGCACACCACTTCTGCCGGCAATGAATTCCATTCCGCAATGGTTCGTGCAAAAAAAGAGTGTTTCATAATGTTTGTCCTGGAGAAGTACGGCTGAACCTTATAACAATGGTCTGTACGAGCAGAACGGTAAGATGGGGAATGCAGAAACTTTGCAGCACAAATTCCTGTTTGGTTGTGATAAATCGAGTAAAAGAATTTGAGGCGCAGCCTTTTACGACGTTCATTTAAATGCACCCATCCCAGTTCCTTTTTCATTTCAGTGGTGCTACTGAAACGATCGTATCTTCCCAGGACAAACCGAGCAGCAACAGATTGAATACGTTCTATAGCACTGATACGAACCTGGTAAGACGGATCCCACACATGACAAGCGTACTCTAATATCGGTCTAACATACGCTTTATACGCTGCCTCCTTAAGCTCTTTGCTTACATGTTTAAGGTTGCGCTGTAAAAAATTTAAAGCCCTGCCTGCCCTGGAAACAACACTGTTCACTTGAGCTGTCCATGTTCCGTCTTCAGAAAATATAACACCCTAATATTTATAAGATGGCTCAATGCTAATATTTTCATTTTTAATGGAGTACTGATGAGTCAATTTATTATGTTTTCTAGTGAAACACACATGAACACACTTACTATCGTTCAATGACATCTTATTGTTACTAGACCATGATTCAATTCGTTTAACATCTCTCATAAGCTGTGTGAAATCCGTATCACCAGACACTGCGTTGTACAATGCACAATCATCGGCAAATAGACGTATTTTTGATTCAGTTCCTCGGGAAATATCATTAATATAAATGAGAAAGAGGAGCGGTCCCAACACAGACCCCTGTGGCACGCCAGATGTTACAAAAACACGACCCGAACATGTCCCATTTACCACAACCTGTTGCTGCCTTGAAGCTAGGTAATCTCTTAACCAGTGCATCACATTATTATCAATATTTAAAACTTCAAGTTTCTGCAGTAAAACCGAATGAGAGACAGTATCAAATGCTTTCTTGATAGCTAAAAATATACAATCAACTTGACCTCTATTATCAAATACTGTGGCAATATCGTGATAAAACTCGATTAACTGCGTCGTACATGAAAAACCTTATCGGAACCCATGCTGTTGATCATTCAGAAAGCCGATCAAAACAAGGTGCTTCATTAACGCCGAGTACAAAACATGTTCAACAATTTTACAGCACACTGGGGTAAGCGAGATCGGCCTGTAGTTCGAAACAATACCTTTAGATCCGCCCTTTAAAACTGGCACGACATTGGCTATTTTCCAATCATCAGGTAGTTGTCCCTCCTGTATCGACTTAGAAAAAATGACAAAAAGATATTTCGCTACTCCACTCGAACAATACTTTAACACCCTAGGGGAGATACCATCAGGACCAGTAGCTTTAGATTCATCAATATTAACAAGCAATTTATTGATTCCATTAATGGAGAACTCAACCTGCGGCATGCCAACATACTGGTCGCTGACCATCTGTAGGGAAACATTTTCATCGGGAAGGAATACTGACTTAAAGAAATCATTAAATAATGTAGCTTTATCATAATCATTTGTTACTACAAACCCTTCATGCTGCATTTGACTGGGGGGCCCAAGTTTATCTTTACCGCACCGTTTCATAAATTTCCAAAACTTCTTCTTGTTGTTGCTTTGCAGGTCTAAAGTTAAACCTTGAAAGAAGGTCCTCTGGCACTCTCTCAGTTTTTTCTTATATTGTGACGTTAGGTCCCGCAGTTTACAAAAGTTATCCTCAGATTTATTTTTGCAGTACCTTGTAAAGTATCATGCAAATTAGCTCACCAGTAATCCATGGTTTCTCCCTCTTTTTCAGTTTACTGCTTAATGTACTAGGTACATGAGCGTCCATGAGAGTAAGAATTCTTTCCTTAAACGTTAGCCACAAATTAT